CTACTTTACTGCATCCAGCTTACACCCCCGGAGACTTAGAATTCGCGACCCTGAACACCTCGGCCCACGCCGCTTCGGGGTCTTCCTCTCAGCGGCATTGAAGGTCCGACGTGAAACTCGGGCGGGCGCACCTCCAGCGCTGTTTCGTGTACCAGCGTGCACCTTCCAGTCGTCGACTTCAGTGGCAGGCGACGTGGGAGTCGTGGCTTTTAGCACACCTCGGATCGGAAATCCTTCGATTAACTTCGCGTTGCATCTGCCCCCGCCGAACCCTGGGCTCTGCTCGGCCATGCCCTCGGCACCTGCGGCAGCGGGCACCCCGCCATGGCGCGACAAGGCCTCCTCGGCATCGGACTTGGCAAAGACGTCGTCGTCGTCGTCGACGTCGGCTTCGCCCCGCTTCGTTGTCTTGCCCCCCGAAGCATCATCGGGCTGGCCCTCGGGATCGATTGCTGCAACGGGCCTGACGCGCGCGGGCGTACCCGTCTTGCCCCCGAGAGCGCCCGCCACTTGCTCGGCCACCGCTGCACTGATCAGGGATTGCGCGCCTGGCTCGGCCAACGGCTCGGCAGCGTCGCGTTTGTTCTCGGGCGGGGACGCTGCTGCTTAGGAGGATGGGAAGGGGGCCCCCGGGGCCCTCGATTCAACGCGGGGGACGGCAGCCAAAATATGCATAGGCAGAAAATCAAACCGAAAAAGGAGCGCGACCACGGCACGCGCTGCGAGATTGCATCCCCGCAGCCGCAGATATGGAGATGGGGTTGGGCCGCGCAACCCGAGCCACTATTCATAAAGAAGGCGCGATCAGCAGCGCAGGAGGCCAACCAAGGGTTGGGAAACAGTGGTTCCCATATATGTGTTGGTCATGGGACGGTTTGCGGGAGGGCTTCAAGGCGGGTCGCGGGCTGATCGCGGGCGAGCGTCGCGCGTCAAAAGGCGACATCGAGGCAGTGACAACCACACATTTCAGAATATCGGCGCTTCTTCGCGCACGCAACCAAAGACAACGTCAGAACGTTTGCCCCCGCATGGTTAAGGCAAGCTAAATTGCACGCGCCTCGACAAAGCTAAATTCCATGTGCCTCGACACGCAGTTCTCCTTCGGAAACGCACGAGAGTGCTGTCCTGTGCGAATTGCTTACAACTGTTTGTATGCTCTCTGGCATTCCTTACACGGCGCTTATCCTAAACAGCTACAGTCGATTTAGTAAGTCAGCCAACTGTGCACAATATGTGTACATATATATATATATATATATATTGCCACCGATATTCGAATTACAATCGTACAGGCCTTGATAAGTTGATTTGTCCTTTTTAAGTCGACGTGCTGCCCTTGTGCATTTGACTTGTTCTGACTCGCATCAGAGCTAGATGGGCACCACCGCAAAGCAGGGCCTTGGACAAAGGCTCCTGCCAACTAAGAACCCTCCGCCGCTTTCTGAGAAGCCCACTCCGCTCGCGCCACCAGCTGGTGGGCGCCGCCAGCAGGCACACCAATGCAAAACGAACCCTCATCTCCGACGACATGGTTTGTTCAATCCCACAGGCCCCTTGCTGCGCCCACGGCCCATGAAAGAATGCTCTGGGACGGAAAGGCTCTGGCCCATGGCCCGCCTTAGAAGGGTAGCGGTGTCGGTCAATGTTCCTCATCTGGGAAGGGGGGGCCCCGCGCCGACCCAAGAGATCATCACGGGCCCCAAGCCCCCGACGTCATGACTTTGTCGTAACGTCGACCCCGGGAGGTCTCGACCCACTCCCCGGGGCCGGCTCTTCATCCCCAGCAGTTTTACAAAAACTAGAGCCTCCCGCCGGCTTCACGTTGCGAGGGGGTCTGGGGCCTCCCAACACCAATGAGTCTGTGCGCCGTTTTTTGCCCTTCTGGATGAGGTTGTCCAAGGCGTCCCAGCAGCCCTCAAGGCAGGTCGCCTCGCTCGGGGAGAGGAAGAGGCGGAAGGAGGAGAAGGAGGAGACGGAGAACGGAAGGAGGTGTAAGATGAAAGAGGAGGGAGAGGCGGCGAAAGGGAGAAGAGGGAGAGGAGAAGGGGAGGGAGAGGAGGAGGGAGGGGGAGAAAAAGAGGACGGAGGAGAAGGAAGAGGGTCGCCTCGCTCAGGGAGAGGGTGAACTGCGCGTAAGGAACCCAGCACTGGAAGGGCAGCGAAGTCCAGGCTGTGCCGAGGAGAGGTCCGCACGCCCGGACCTCCACAGAGACCCGGGCGTTGCAAGGCTTTCTGCACGAGCGGTTTCGCCCAGTCTCGGGCCGCGGGATTACACTCAAAACTAATAGTAAGGACGCGCCGTACGGATGAATGCCCCTCGTACGCCCATGTCGAGGCACTTCGAGCGGGGCTGGCCATCGAGAATGGCTTGGGACGGACCGAGGAGGCAAGGACGCAATGGTACGTACCCATGGGATGGTTACCCATCCCTATCAATCGGCTTCGAATGCATCACAAATCGATCGGGTTCGACGAATGCGCCACCGCGCGCCCTGGCACA